CTATCTATCTATCATCTATCTATCTATCTATCTATCTATCTATCTATCTATCTATCTATCTATCTATCTATCTATCTATCTATCTATCTATCTTCAAGTCGTCAAGTAGACTGAGTAGAGTGAGTCCAGAGATCTCTCTCATGCATCTATTGAGTTACATCATGGAACCCAAAGCAATTTCCATTACCCCATAGTTTTTGAACCTTTAGCTGTTTTAGATCAGATATTCTCAATATATTATGGGTATTGTACAATTGAGTATAGATTTTTATTAGATGCTGCTGATTTTGATTATTCTGGAGAATTATTTAATGTCCTTACCAAAGCTTGTAGGAGCTATGTAGCACTATAGTTTATATTCATGCTACTCCATCAAAAATAGTATTAAAATGTTGGGGGGAAATCAGCTTGTTCCTTTAGGATCCACATTTTTCAATTACTATACAATGAGGATTGCTATTAGAATATGCTGTTTATAATATACCTGCATTGAATACATTATGTGAGATTATATTTTTCCCAAAATATATCTCAGTATGTTGAATTTAATCTAGATAGGCTTACATTGGATGTTAAAAAGTGGTTACATTATCAATGTTAATTCCTATTACATATCGTATCATAACCTCCTTGGTAAAATTCCAAGTAGATATTTTAATCTAATAGGATTTCATTTGATTTTATTTAGTTTGTGTTAAGATTTTGGCATGCTATTGAGAAAGGTTTGTGATAAGTCCCTTCAATTCACCCTGGCCAACTTTCAATTCATTGTGGCCAAATAGACAGTGGCTTTAATTTGCTTTATGACCGATTTTTCTTTTAACGTCTACCTGTTTGTGGAATGGAGAGTTCTTGATGATTCCTCTCTTATGTAGAGTGTTAATGGGTGCTCCTTTTAACACTTCACAAGTACTTGGATAAAATCCCCAGAGGCTTCAATCTTCCCAGCTTTGAAAACTGCTAGAAGCAACTATGCATTAATTAATTGGAAAGCCGTTAAATTCTGATCTGGAATTCCATGAAAACCAGTGGTGGGTTTCCATTTTTTTTACTACCGGTTCGCTTGTGCGCGTACATGTCCACGCATGCACAGAAGTATCTGGGCAGGTGAGCAGAGCCTCCGCTACTATCGGTTCGCCTGATCCAGGCCAAACCGTGAACACTCACCTCTGATGAAAACTCTCATGAGGAGGATGGAAGGAGCATTGTCGAATAGGCTCCACCCCTTTTTGTCATGTGGCTGTTACTGTGACCAGTCTGTCACTTCTACTGCATAATAAAATTGTAGACTAATCCTAATTTAAAGATGAGAGAAATATTTCATTGGAAGTGAGGAAACTAAGACTGTACGACCTATTGTAAAAGGATTACAATACTAATCAAAGAACTGATAAGTACTGTAATCCTTTTTCAGATTCTATGTTCTGAATACAGCTTATACCATTAACTTGCTTGCCAGTGAGTTTTCCCACATTTTATGACTTTACTTGCCACAGTTATAAAGTGAACCACTGCAGTTGATAAGTTACTAATGTTGTTGTTAAGTGAATCAGGCTTCACCAATGACTTTGCTTGTCAGAAGTTTGCAAAAAGTGACCACATGAGCCCCAGGATGCTGCAATGGTCATAAGTATGAACAGTGGTGGGTTCCGGATCCCATTCCAACCGGTGGGGGTGTACACATGGAAGGGCAAGGGCATGCGCACATGTGCGCAGCACACGCATGCGTCTTACTGCCTCCACAAGCCTCCGCAATGCTCCAGCTGCTCAGCGGAGAGTTCCACAGGCGCTGTACATGCTATGTGCATGTGCGGAAGACTTAAAAGACTGGTAAGGATCTTGGGCATGTGGATGGGCCCTCCGGAGCACTGTACCGGAACGGTATCCGGCGCTCCAGGTAGGCTCCAGTACTGGGGCGTACCACCTGCAACCCACCACTGAGTATGAAACAGTTTCTAAGCATCTGAATTTTGATCCCATGATCATAGGGATGCTGCAAAGGTTGTACCTGTGAAATACGGCCATAAGTCTCTTTTTTCAATGCCATTGTAACTTTGAACGGTCACTAAATGTACTGTTGTAAGTCGAGGACTAGCTGTATAATACAATTAAAGCATGTAAATATGGCCACAGAATATGGCTGAGATGCTTTAGCAGTTTTAAATGTACATGGAAGATTTGGATGTTTAAGAGATGGAGCTGAAATAAAATAACAATTTCATTCTATTTGAAACTAAAAAGATAAAAGTTAATATGGATCATAATATATATGATGAATGGAGTCATGAATTTGAATGTCCAATTTTGGAAAAACAAGGTTTTAAGAAACATAAAGTATATTTAGGATTGGAGTGAATCCACTAGAAGAACTATACAGAATCACTATCACTGTATGTATTTTTACTTTCCTCTGATTGTATTACCACTGTTTGTAAGGTTCTCAAATAAATAGGATGAGAATCAGTTTTTTGTGGGTTGGTATAAGAAAGCTGAGGTCTCTTTGACTCAGATGATGTGGTTATGTTTCTTTATAAATAAGCCATTATTTATATTGCAATAGCTTTTAGGAAAAACAGTTAGATGAAATGAAATTGTGAATGATACTATAAAAACATGGAATGATTTAGAAATGATTTCTGCCTCTATCAGGGCTAGAATTTTTCGAAGGAAATTGTAAAGATACAATAACAATCAACATTCCAAATATTAATAAGTAGATTCAAGAAACATGTTTCCTACCAATAACTGAAATACATTTATGTTGTAAAAATGATAAGGTGGAGAAATATGTTTCCTGATAGTATAGATTTAATATTACGTTAAAGAATTTGGCTAGTTCTATATTAATACTATATAAATCTTTCCCATCCACCCCTTTTGAGTTCATTTTAATCTGTATTAGTGTGTGTGTGTTTTATTTTCCTCTGATGGTATTACCACCGTTGTGTTTTTTTGTCTTTCTTTGTAAAATTTTACCAAATAAACATGCTTTTTAACATAAATATGCCTTTATGTTTGAGATTTAATTTAGGGTATTATGCCCAACCAAGTTTTGTTTACTTAGAGCATTTAACTTTGTTTCCCATTTGTGGGGGTGGGTGGGATGGATGCAGCTCCTGTAAACAGCTCCTGTTTACCCACATTCCTTCAAAGTTCCCTGTTTAATTTCCGCCTTCACACCTGGCTACCTCCTGATGAAGCTGAAGGTGAAGGGTGAGAGACTGAAGTCCAGCTCTCACAGGATGGAAAATAGTTGGGGGGAAGGGAGAAGAAAGCTGCAGTCAGGGCAAATTTATTGATTTAGTCCTCAACTTGCAACAGTTTGTTTAGTGACCTTT